CGCATTGGGCCCCTAGATATCTCATGGTTTGTCCGTCCTTTAGAATGGTTATTGATTCATTTAGGCTGACATCGGAGGAGGGGTTGATAGTTCTCTCGTTGTGTACCCTTTCACGGTATTCCGGTGAGCCGACCAGGAGGACGACAGTTTTTTCTTGGTTGAATTTTGCCCCAGATGCGATGCACCAGCTGTTTAGGGTTGAGAGTAGGATGTTCAGGTCGTCGTCTTTGGCAAGGAAAATGGCAGCGTCATCGGCAAAGAGGGACACTATCACTTTCTGTGAGAGAGTGGGGGTGTTGATCTCTAGGCCTTGGAGTGATGGGGATTCTCTGAGAGTGATCGATAGAGGTTCTATGGCAATGTTGAAGAGGAGGCAGGACAGGGGGTCGCCTTGGCGGACCCCTCTTGTTATTGGGAACTCACAGCTGATCATGCTGTTTAGGATTACTTTTGTATTGGCATCGGTGTAAAGGTTTTTGATTGTCAATATGAGGTTAAGAGGGATTCCCATGGACTCCATGACCCTCCAGAGGTAGTCGTGCCGGATATGGTCATATGCCTTCTCTTGGTCGAGGGCGATAATTGCTCCGTCCTGTCCGGTTAGTTCACATAGGTCGGTCATACGGTTGACAAGATCTATTTGGTCAAAAATACTGCGGCCTTTGATGAAGGCCACTTGGCATTTGTGGACTAGGAGGGGGGCTATGGGGGATAGTTTGTTCATAATGGCTGTTGTGATAATTTTGTACTCTGCATTTAGCACGGTTATAGGTCTATAGTTCTCGATTTCTCTTTTGTCTTTTTTCTTGTAGAGTGGGCAGAGCCACCCTTCCGAGATATATGGGCAGGAGATGCCGTTCATTTCAATGTCATTGGCTAGGTAGGTTAGGAGTTTTACTATATGTAGTCTGCAGTTCTCATTCCTTCCTTCCTTCCACCTGGCATTTAGGTTTTTGAATAGCTCGGTAGGTATGCCATTGAGGCCAGGGGATTTTCCCGGGGGAGACTGGTTTAGGGCTTTTTCTATGTCCGCAGGGCTTAGTGGGGTGGCCAGGTTCACGAGGTCTTCTGGAGGGATGTGGTTCCGGATTTTGTTTATGGAGTTTATAATGTGGGTCTCCCTCTCCTCTTGGTGGGCAGACAGGTCTCTGTACTGGACAGCATTGTAGTGGTTGGCTGCTATGTTTGCCATCTCAGTTGAGTCGGTTGTGTAGGCTGGAGGGCTGGACTCTGGGATTCTCAGTTCAGGTATTGTGTCGCATGGTTTGTTTTCCTTTCCCCATTTACACCAGTATTTGCTGTTTGTTTCACTTAGGATTCTTTTATTTGCCCCAGTGCGTGCTTTTGATTTAGCTAGTTTTAGTTTCTCTATTTCATTAATTCTTTTTGTTAGGTTTTGGACTTGGACCTGGGTCATCTCAGCAAGGGTCTCATCCATGGATGTTAGTCTCAGCATGGCCTTGTCGCATCTGTGCGTGAGGCGCCTCATTTCGGAGTTGAGTTTGCCAGCTTTTACTTTTGCAGTCTTTCTGGCTAGGTGGGTCACAGCGGATACAAATTCATGGAAGGTGTTTTGTATGTTATTGTTTCTGACCATTTTGTTGAGGGCCTCATTGCTGATGGCTTCGACTTCTTTTAGGAAGATTTGGTCATTGGTTAAGTATAGAGGGATGGCCCATCACCCTTTCCCGATTGCGATTGCGCGGTCATCCCATAATTCGACAGAGACAAGTTGACATGTGTAGGCTCTATTTCTTATGGCATCATTTGCATATATTCTGTCTAGTCTGGAGAGGGATGCCCCTGTAGCATGGCCGAAGGTGAAGTTTCTTTCAGGGGCTGGGTGTGATTCTCTCCATCCATCCGTGAGGCCGTTGAGGGAGGTGAGGTCATGGAGGGCGGTCACTGTGGAATCCGGGTCAGGGTGGGGGGGGAAGTCTGTCCATGGCTTCTTCTACCATATTGAAGTCCCCGAGCATAATGTCTACAGGGGTGTTGTTAAGTTCCTGGCGGATGTCCTTCCAGAATTGGGAGTTGTCATTCTGGGGGTTGGGGGCATATATGGCTAGGATTTTGGTGGGGATATTTGGTGGCCATTCTACTTCTATGAGGAGTGTGTGGCCCGGGATGATGTCCTTTACTGATCTGGGACTAGTTTTTATTATACTTTTGTTAATGATTATGGCTACTCTGCCCGCACGGGTGTGTTCTGAGTTGTAGGAGTGGATGATTGACCACTCGGTACTGTAGATGTTGTTTAGGTGGTTTTGCTGTAGCTGGTCGGAGTGTGTTTCTGAGACGATGTTTCCCTTTCTTATTGTTCTTTCCTTATTTGTCATTTTCGGATCCTTCCGTGATACCGTGACCAGCTGTATAGTTAGCTAGACAGTGAGGAGTAGTGGAATCCACTCCAAGTTAACGAACCTGTGCATGCAACCACTCCAACCCTCCCCCTCTCTTCTGTCTCGAGTCTAGTGGTGATAGACCCGTTACAGCGTGCAAGCGGCTCCAGAATCAGCCAATGCCTCGACCTCGTGGCCATTGATGGCATTCACATGACATCGCACTCTACATGCATCAGATCCCAGGGACTGCTGACCCGGGGGATGATTGAACAACTTGCATGCCTCATAGATTTCACCCATGGCCCTGGTCGTGCTGATGAGTTTCTCCTCACAGGGAATCTCACCCCAAGCACACACGACAAGGTAGGCATCAGGCATCTCTTCGGGACTCTCTACATCTAGTACATCTGCAGGATCTGAGTCGGACAGGGTACAAAACTCGGTGTAAGCAACTGCAAATTCCGCTTCCTGCCCTTCCACCAAGGCAGTATATGCCTGTCAATAGGAATGCTCCAACTTAGAAGGGCTGCCTCAATCCTTGCAATCACTCTTGGTCCGGTCCACCTTACGAGGTGGACAGTCATTGTCCCAGTGCAGGGCACTCCCACAATGTCTACAGGGTCAAGGCGGCTTCTTACGTGATTTGAAATCACTCATGCGGTAGGTGTGGCTCTCCGACGCTGCAGCTGCACTTCGTGCTTCTACTTGATCTGTTCCCTGTTTGTTCTTTTCGAAGTTCAACCTGGCGACCTTATTGGCAATGGCATCGATGCTGAACTCTTTGGTGGCCACCAGCTTGTCATGTTTGAGCGTGACCATTCATTGGAGTGCCTCCACTGTCTTGAGATGGTCGATGTTGATGTGGGCCCACCAACCTCTGGGAACGTCCTCCAATAGCCTTTGGACTTCACCCTTCAGGACATCCTGACTTGGTGTCAGGGCCCGGCCTCTGTCCGGGGGCGGCCCTACCTCAGAACTGGACACTTGCGGTGTCCCAGGCAGCCAAGTGCTGGATCCTACCCCAAGCTCCTCAAACTCACTAAGCGGGGATTGAGTTGTCATGTATTATGGAAGGTAGCTACAACTTGCCTAAGCGGGAATTGAGTTGAGAACAAGGGTAAGTTTCCCTATTCCCCACTTGGCTACTATAAAAGGGAAATGTACTATACAGTTTGTAACGTGACTAAGGGTAGGAGCCGAGCATGTTCCTGCAATGTGGAAAAGGTGTCACATGGGTTAAGGTGAGTTGCTCACCTTGACCCACGTGATTTTTCCCGTGGGTTCGCGTGCGGGCTGTAGTTGCGAAAGGTGTGTGAAGATGGGAGGATGAGGGAAGTGGGGGGAGGTCAGGGAAGGTGGTTCTGGGGTTGTATGGTCAGGTGTGGTTGCCCTGACACTTGGTATGTTGGCCAAAGGGTAGAGAGTGCGCAATAATCGCAACTTGCATGTCACGAAATCGAGTGGTGTCTCCCTCGTGTGACCCTCACCTTTACGGTATTGACACGAGTGGTAACGCTCTCATATTTTGTCGATAAATGCAGGTGTCAAGAAGTAGTGTAATATATAACTGTGTAGAGCCTCCCAATTTTGAGTGAAGCACAGCTTGTCGGCTGTTGGGACAGTAGTCCACCAGTCCGCGAGTTTGCCCTTGAACCTCTCAGGCAGGACTCCTGCCATTTGTTGGGTGAAGGCCACTGAGTGTCTTTCAACATATACTGCACCAGGTTATATAACTGTCGATCAAGCCATCAAACTTGGGGAAATCTGACATAGTGTACTTACAATCAACGTAAGGTTGCGTCCAGTCGAATGGGAGGTATGGCCTGATTCCTGGCATTTGGAGAGGAATTACAGCACCCGGCCCTGGAGGTGGTGGAGGTGGAGGCGCCCCTGCCTGACCTCCTGGCACAGGCGGGGGCGGTGGCAGCGGCGCACCTGCCTGACTCCCTGGCAAGAGCGGTGGTGGAGGGGTGTCAGGGACGTGTCCAGGGTCGAGGGGGTCCGGGTATAGCGCCCGGTGCTGAGGACCTCGCGGGGGTAGATCGGGCGTGTGTACTGGCGGGCCCGATATGGGACAGCTGTCCCTGGCCACTTAGACTGAAGTGGAAAAGGTGAGAAGAAGGTTACTTCTTCAGTTCCCACTTCAGGTACATTTATGTACATGCGGCTTGAGTCACATGATGGATGCCATGTCATCCTCGGAGACAACCGCAGTCATCTGGGTGTCCCCATGGGGGATCCCAAGGGCATCTGGTGCAGGCGTGTGTGCTGGGCACAGTGGGGAGCCATCCGGGGAGCCTGGGTCAGGCAGGTCAATAGTACATTGATACAAAGGAAAGTGGTCCGTGTAAATAGAAAGAATAAACAGGAGGGGAATGATGGGAAGAATGAAATAAAGAAAAGAGAGAAGGGAGAGAAGAGAGAAAGAAAGAGGAGGGAAGGAGGGAGGGAAAGGATGGGCAGCGGGGCAGTGGGTGAGGTGTGGCCGGGTGGACCTGGGTGGGCCTGGGTGGGCCTGGGTCAGGCGGGTGTGCCCTGACAAGGGGGCGCACCTGCTTGACCTCCTAACGGAGGCAGCAGATAGTTATGTGGAGGTGGCCCACCCTGGGGTAGAGGCAGGTCTGGAGGAGCAGGTGGTTGTGGTGGTTCGTTGCCTCAGCGATATTGTGGCCAAGGTTGGGGTCCAGATCTAACTGGCTCCATACCGAGGTTTATGGGAGTGAAAGGGTCTCGAAACAATGAGCAGGTGGGACCCGTATTGGGCCCAGGTCTGTACCTATCGTTCTGATACCTCTCATCGGCAGGGCCCACCTCCGTCTTTCTGCCCTTGAGGCCCTGAACAAATTCTGCATAGTCCAGATCCTTCTTGGGATCGTGGAGCATATAGGATTCATGAGGACGGTCCATCGTTGGTATGGTCCCTTCATCCCTTCGTAACATAGCTGCAGCGACGTTAATGCTTGGCCTGGGAGCAGGGAGCTCTATTGGCAGCTGCTGGCATTGATGTATGAAGGTGACTTCGTCGACTGCTGGTTCACACTGACTGTTTAGTTCCCAACCCAACGTCTCGTGGGTCGACTTGCAGGTAGGCCTAATCTCTGCAGACCAAGCCCTTTCAACCGATTCCCGATCAGTGAAAGTGGTATGTGGCACACTGGCCAGCCTGAAACCACCGAGTCGCAATTCGTCAAACTCCTGTGAAGGGTTGACAGCTCTTTTTATGGAATTTTCCAGTGCTTCTCAAAGGCGTTGAGTCGTTGGTCAAGGAAGTGCCATACAATATCAAATTCCTTCTGTGATGCCCAGCCCTTCTCAGCCAGCATGAGTGAGAAATCGCCATGTGGGTCTATAACGAATTCACCTGCAGGGGCGCGAGCTGATATCGCAGTGTTGGCTTAGCACTGTCATCGGGGACAAGTTCTCTTTCGAGCCAGGCTGGCATGATTCTCTGCCAATTACAGATTTTGGTCATAGGGGTGTTGGGATCATTGAAAACTCCACCCACAAACTCTCTGATGGCCTCTATGATGAGTGTGAGATCTCGTCGCCTCCGAACAGCTTTGGGCAAGGTTCGCACATCACCCCATGGGGGAGACGTTGCTGCAGAGTCAGGTACCTGGTAGGAGAGGGTGTCTTGTGTGGATGACGCCAAAGCATCATGGTTGTGCGTTGATTGAGCCAGCATCCTTAGTGGCATGGTGTGATCTAGTCGCACCGGGGTTGGGGCACCAATGTTAAAGAAATGGGTTCTGGGTAATTGTCAGGGCACATACCCTGACTTAGCCCGGATGTCAAGGTACCAAGCTGCTCGGACTCTAAGTCGAGGGATCCCGAGCCTTCGCTGGAGCGGAGGCCGAGGGGGACAGGATCAGTCTCAATGGGGGAACCCGGCAAAGCGGATTGCGATAGGGATTCCAGCTGAGCAGCGAGGGGAAGTGAGAGAAGAAAGTTATCTTCCTCACTCGCTACCCAGGGAATGATAAAGTCAGTATACCCAGCGAAGCGGGGCCGCTCTGCAGAAGGAAATATAACAAATGTCTGTGCCAGTCCGGGGATGATGATCAGGCTGTGCAGGTATGGGGCAGGTGTGTCATCAGTTGTGTGTAAGCAGTCCGGACTTAACCGGGCTGTACTCTGACATCACCCCCCCCTTATGCCACTACGTCTTGGAGTGGCTGAGTTTGCACGTGGGGCAGGAGCAGAAGGGTGGTGCTGATGGAATTCTGTGATGAGGTCTGGCGCATTTTGGGTATCACGATCAGGTATCCAGCTATTTTCGGAACTGGGGTAGCCCTTCCACTGGACGAGGTAATGGAGTCGGCGACGGATATACTTAGAGTCGAGGATTTTCTCCACTTCATACTCTTCGCTCCCTTCGATGATGGTGGGACTCGGTTCTGGGTGTGCAGGGCGTTCTGCTATCTCATCTGGTTGGTACTTACGAACATCTGAGATTGACACAACGGGGTGCATTCGGTATCCCTTGGGGAGCTGGAGTTTCAGTGCAGCTCGTGAGACTATCTTCAGGATCTTGAAGGGGCCTAACCATTTGTGGTCTAGTTTCTTGGTTGGCCGATTGGTTGGGTAGTTATGTGCGCTGAGCCACACTTTCTCTCCTTCATGGTATTCAGGTGCTTCGCCTCGTTTCCTATCATAGTACTTCGACATCTCCTTGGCTGCATGTGCTAGGGCTGCCTTTGCCTCCTCTTGCATTTGTGCCATCCGTGATGCAAAGTCTCCAGCTGCCTCCACCATTGAAGTCTTGGGGGGTTCTATCCCCATGCGTGGGTGTTGACCTGTGTCAAGCTCAAATGGTGTGTGGCAGGTGGCCGAGTGGATGCGGTTGTTGTAGCTAAACTCAGCGATAGGTAGCCAGTCTGCCCAGTCATCCTGCCTGTGGTTCACGAAGACCTGGAGGTAGGTTTCAATCTCTTGGTTGACTCATTCTGTTTGCCCATCTGTTTGGGGGTGGTAGGCAGTGGATGGAGTGGGTTTAATACCTAGGAGTTTGCTTAACTCCCGAGAGAACTTAGAGATGAAAGTTGTTCCTCTGTCACTGATGACTTCATCTGGGAGGCCATGGTGTTGCCAGACATGCTCAAGGAAAAGGTGGGCTACACCTGCAGAGTCCATCTGAGTAGTGGTGGGTATGGCATGTATCCTTTTGGACAGACGATCAACCACTACCATGATTGCATCGAACCCTTGTGATACGGGGAGCTCTCCTATGACATCTATGGAGACAACCTGCCATCGCCGATCTGGTACCTTGTTTGGCATAAGCTTCCCAGTCCTTTGAGCAGGGAAGGATTTCACCCGTTGGCAAGTGTCACATCCAGATATGTACTTGGCAACATAACGAGAGAGCCCTGGCCACCAGTAGTTCCGAGATACAAGCTCTAATGTCTTCCATCGGCCAGGGTGTCCAGCTACTGGGGTGTCATGGTGGGCACGAACTACGTCATGGCGGAGAAGAGGGTCATGGGGGACATAGATCCTCCCTTGATAGAGGATAAGCCCTTCATGTAGCTCCCACCCCGAAGGCGCTTCATGACCAGATTCTAACTCACGAGTCGCACTTGCCACAGAGCCCTCAATGCTCTTGCATTCCCTCATCCGCTGCAGCAGGTCTTCCTCTCCTGTTGGATGCGAAATAGCTGCTGTAGCTTGAATGCGAAAGAGATCAGGGCATAGCAGTGTGACCTCGGAGTTGTCCTCTTCTCCTTGTGGGTGGTCCGCTCGTCGTGACAGGGCATCTGCTTTCTGCATGAGTCTTCCCGGTCTGTGTGTGAGTGTGAAGTCAAAGCGAGAGAGGTGTAGTGACCATCAGGCTTGGCATCGGTTGAGTTTCTGGGCTGACCGGAAATAGGAGAGGTTTCGATGGTCATTGAAGACTTCGAACGGTTCTGCTGCTCCTTCCAGGAAATGCCTCCACTCGTCCAAAGCGCGGACTATCGCAAGCATCTCTTTGTCATGGATCTGATAGTTCCGCTCAACATCATTCAGGCTTCGGGACATAAACCCTACTGGGTGGTACTGCTGGTCTTCTTGAAGCTGAGAGAGAACAGCTCCAGTCGCAAAGTTAGAGGCATCACACTCTAGTCGGAAGTGCCCCTCATCTGAAGGGAAGACAAGGACAGGGGCTGAGGTGACAGCCTTTTTTAAGGCGTCAAACCCTTCTTGTTCTTCTCTGCCCCATCTCCAAGGTCTGGACTTCCGCGTCAGTGCGTTCAGGGGTCTAGCAATTTCAGAGAAGTCGTGGATGAACTTCCGGTAGAAGTTCACAAATCCGAGGAAGGATTGGACATCTTTGACTCGTTTTGGAACTGGCCAGTTCGTGACACCTTTGATCTTTACTGGGTCCATCTCTACCTGATTCTCTGATATCACCAGCCCTAGATACTCTATCTGGGTCTGCTCGAACTTGCATTTCTCTGGTTTACCTCTGTCAATAAACTCTCAGAGAATGTCGTTCATCATCGTCTGGAAGGTTGCGGGGGAGTTACAGAGGCCAAAGAACATGACTAGGGGCTCAAACAGTCCTCGGTTGGTGCGAAAGGCAGCCTTCCACTCGTGGCCTTCCTTAATCCGGACATTGTTGAAACCCCATCTGAGGTCCAAGACAGAGAAGTACTTCGAGCCTCGAAGACAGTTGAGCACATCTGACACAAGTGGGAGTGGGTATGAGTTCTTCACTGTGATTTCGTTCAGCTTTCGGTAGTCTTGAACAAGTCGGAGGGATCCGTCCTTCTTTTTAACAAAAAACACTGGGGCCCCCATTGGGGATTTAGACGGCCTGATGCGGCCGTTGGCAAGGTTTTCTTGCAGAAACCCATCAAGTTCCCCTTGTTCGTTCTGGGACAAAGGGAAGGTGCGTGACCATGGGAGATCAGCCCCAGGTAGGATATCTATTGCATGATCCCACGGCTTCCGTGGAGGTAATGCACTAAATGCTTCCTTTGAAAAGACGTCTTCATAGAGGCGGTAGGCCTCAGGGATCACCCCTTCTGGGGGAGGCTTCTCATCCTGCTGGGCCCTCTCTGCAAATTGCTGAGAAGGGGTAGTGGTGGCCCAAATCTCCGGCATGCTGTGCGTCGACATCATGTGGACTGCGAAGACTTCGTCTCCGGGTTCTACCGATTCTACTCTCGCGGGTACAGCTCTCTGACACTCAGGTGGACATCGTGTCATTGTTACCTTCTGTCGAACCCAATCCACCTCTGGGTTGTGAAGGAGAAGCCATGGGTGGCCAACAATAACCGTCTGTTGGCCAAGGTTCGCGACAGCGAGTTTACAACGCTCAGAGTGGTCCCCAAAACCGAGGATAACGTCGACTTCTTCCGTGATGGGACCGTTCTCGTTCTGAGTCCCATCAACGTTGCGAACGGGGATGGGTGAAGCTAGGGGGGTCGTTGGCAGCTGGTGTTTGTGGACGAATTCCTTGCTGACGAACATTCCTGTGGCCCCTGAATCGAGTAATGCAGACGTCGACACAGCGGCGAGCGAAGTAGCAGACCTGAGTGAGATCAGAATGTTTATCGAGCGTGGGGTCTTCCCCGTTGTCTTTCGTGCGTCAGCTCTTTTTATTTTCGCGTTCTTCTTTCTTTGTGCGACTTTAGTAATCTTTCTCGCCTTTGCCTCATTTACAGGTTCGATTTCGACCTTCATACACGGATATTTACAGTTTTTTGAGGCGTTTACAGGCGAGTCGCCCAGTCGGGGCACAGCTTTCACCGACTGGCATTTCAAAAACCCTCTTCGCGGGGTTCTTCCCCTTCCATGGCACTCCCGTTCTCAACAAGCTGGTCCTTGATCAGCTGGGTTATCGCGCGAAGGTCCTCTGGGGATAAGGACAAGGGTCACGGGTCTCCTGGTCGTCTTATCGGCGTGGGTTCATCAACCACATGGATTCTTTGTGTGGCTGCCGAGGGGCAGTTGCGTGCGATGTGGCCTGGTTGCCCACAGCTGTAGCAGACGCCGTTTCGTGGGTTTTGGCGAGGTTGTCGGGTTCGGTCGAGTTCCATGGGCTGAGGGCTAGTCGACAAGGAAGATGGGCTCGGCGTCTGCGTGTTGGGCAGGCGCATCGTGTTCTGGTGAGTGACCACGGTACTGTTTCGTTGGGGTTGAGCCCGTGTCTGGTGAGGGGATGCCCCAAAGGCGCGTCCTTGGCGTGTCTGGGCTTGGAAGTGATCAAACCTTCTGTGCTGACTGTCCAGGAGCAGGGCCCATTGCTTCCACTCTTCCCAGTTCGTTGGGAATGGGTGGGATCCGTAGATCGATTCTTGAAGGCGATGGGTAATGGCTCGTTGGAACTTGTCGATTAACCCGGCGTCTCCGAGCCTGGACACTGGTCCGTACAACTCAAAGAGCTGGATGACTGTCTCAACGGGATTGGGCCCTTGTCTTATGTCCGACAGCTTCTGCATCGCGGTCGCTGCCCGGTTTGGGTCGGCAAACATGTCCTTCAACTCTTGGAGGAAGTTCTCAAGTGTTGGGATCGCAGTGTTAGGGGAGAGGTATGCGTTAATCTTCTGGGAGGCCCACAAGGCTGCCGTCCCCTCTTTCATATGCGATAGGATGAACAAGATCTGTTGTTGATCGTCGGGATACTCGGCATGGCGAAGCGCACCACCTGTCATGCTGGTAGACACTCGGAACCCCATCCAATTGCCTCTGACCAACCCAAACCCGTACCCG